GGATGATCCGGGGGCATATCTGGTAAGTGGGCTGACCTTTAACCACCCAGGGTGGTTTAATACGTGAAAGTTGAATCTGAAAGAAAGGGAGAAGCAGTTAGTTGTAACACCCGACCATTTTCAGACAGTGAAACGCATGTTATTAGCATCTATTCATCATAATTCTTATCGCAAGAATTCAACAAAAGTTTAGAATCCCAGCTTAAGAACTGATTCTGGGAGAGAAGCAGCACAGTCCCCACAGCCTCTGCACGCGTGCTCTGCCATGCGCTATCTAAAGCTCAGCATTAACATTGTTTTACCAGAGCCCGCAGACAAATAAGTGGTTCTTCAGGAACCAAAATGGTCCCCTCTACATCAGGATGACCCTGAGGCTAAGGAGATGGATACCTCCAGTCAAAACAGGCAAAGCCAGAGGGAACATGAAGATTCTGCTCCAAAGGAAAGGAACCGAGAAACTACGCAGGATAAAGAACACATCTGAAGGTCTCTCTTGCAGCAAGTCAGCTAGCTGCAGGAGAAGCAATTTCTGTATGCACAGAAATGCAAACTAACAGAGCAAGTCAAGGTTATGCTGTGCTCTTGTGCAAAGACCTTGGAATGATTTTCCATTCTTTGCCTGTCTAAATAAGATAGCAGACTGTGGCAATCAGGGGTACTTAGGCAGCTCTACCAATGAAACCCTTCCACTTCTCCTCCCAAGATGACAACACTTGACATTTTAATAATGTTTTGATGCTACTGAGCATGACAGCCCTGAGATAGCAAGCAGCTAAAACCCTCCTTCCTACCCGGATGGGTGGGACCTTTGGCTCCTCTTTAGTAGGCTGTGGCTTTTCTGGGTGAACACTTTCAATTGTGTTACGAAAGGACTGACGATCTTCAAGCCGGGGCTTCTTTTCGGGGAAGGACGCGGAGGCAGCCTCCTCAAAGCATTTCCTCTTCTGGTCCTTGGGCTCCCGAGCAGAGTTCTCCTGGGGCAAGCTGGGAATTCTGTTTGCAGCCGCCAACGACGGATCTTCCGATTTACTGTGTAATTTGGAAGTCTCTGGAGAGAGGGGCAGTTCTGAGCTCTCTGGCTTCAGCGCTGCAGGCGAAGGGCTCGTCTCGTCATCTTTCTTCAGGTCTGTCTCAGGCTTTGTCTCTTTCTGGACTGAGGGTTCCTGTCCCACAGCAGCAGTCTCTTTGGAAGCCTCCACTTGCTCCGGCTCCCGCAGCTTGTAGAGGCTCCTCCTGGCTCGGCACCGCAGGTCAGCCCGGGAGCGCTTCCTGAAGTGCCCGTCCCTCTGCCGCGTCGCAGGCCCGCGCGGCACCCGCGCCTCCCCTTTAGCAGACAGCCCTGTCCTGTTCTCAGCATCTTCCTGCACCAAACTCTGCTCCTGGGATTCTTCCTGCGTCAAGCCCAACCTATGAGGCAAACATAAAACCTAGTTAAAACCTAAAGCTCATCCCAGTTTAAGCATTCCATCCTTTACTAGGAGCTGTACTGTACACCTCTCATATATAGCTGTACTGTACACCTCTCATATATAGCTGTACTGTACACCTCTCATATATAGCTGTACTGTACACCTCTCATATATATACAGAGATCACAAAGCAGAGACTCATCAAACCTCACTAAGTCAGTGTGCAATGAGATAACCCGTACATTCACTACCCCACAATACTATCAGGGGAATGAGAAAGATAAGAAAATGTAAAGATTTGTAAGGGAAAACAAGTAAAATTAACTTGTCTTGGAAACAAAATAGATGGGCTACAAACTTCTGCTGTGCTCCAGCCAATTCCTAAGGATTTCCCTGGAGCAACAGCCCGAATGATTCAACCCACAAAACCTGCATCTTTCAAGGACTTTAAGCAGCAAAGCAGAAACACACTCTGCCACTTGTATGAACATGGATAAAACAGGACAGATGAGGTAGTTTCTCACTTTTGTCCATAGTAGTCCTCAAAGAACTTCTCTTTCCATTGCTCCACTCTCTTCTCCTTTTCCATTTCCTGCCGAATTCGAACTTGCATTTCATGGGTGAATTCACCTACAAGGAAGCAAGAGGCTGAAACCGAGTTCCAAACAAAACCAATTCTGCAAATGCAACCTTCTGCATTTCCACAGGACAGTAGCTACATATCTGAAGGACTGATTTTCGGTAGTCACCCTGCTCTCCCCCCTGCCATAGGTCCACATGCTGCCTGTGACTCCTTAAGGGCAATGGTCACACGGCCTCAAGCAAGACTGAAAAATATCATGTTTTACCAGACACAGGCCAAGTCTGAGGAAGAGGTAAGCCTGGCACTACTTCACAGCTCCACCACTTCATTCTGAAGATCCCACAGCACCAAAGGAAAACACATCTTTGATTTTTAAAGGGAAAAAAAGAGAAGAAAATGTGGGGGCAACATGGCCAGATACACCACAAGGCCGGACTGAACTCCTGGTCATTAACTGTGAAAGCAAACCCAATGCATCCCATCAGATGGGTGCGTATCCTCCTCGTCCCGGAGGCAGAGCCGCTCACCATCAGCCAGGCGCTCCCTCCAGCTCTGCGCCGCGTGGGTGAAGAACTCGTTATTGAGCGCGCTGCCGCTGAGCCGCATCAGCCCGTCAGCCCCAACCTGATGGACACACAGAACACGCTGCTCCAGCCACTGCACAGCCAAGGGGCACTGCACTGGGTGGGAGACCCCCACGTGCTGCACCCTCGTACCTGTCTGTCAACTTCTGGAAGGAGGTAGAGAAGCTGCTGCTGGAAGTGCGATGGGAGCGCATTGAAGGTTCTGGAGTTTATCAGAGCTCGCAGGTTTGTGTTGACAAGAATGGAGCCAGGTGTTTCAAAGTCAATATCCTCTCCCCTGTTGCGTTTCATTTGCCCTGGAGTTTAAAGACAGGTAAATAGAATAAACATTGTTGTACAGAAGTATTTCAGTATTACAGGCAAGAAATTCATGTCAACCTACTAGAGCAAAAGGAGCAAGACACGTGAGAAAAGACTGTGGTATTCAAGTGTGAAGACACACTCACAATCACACTGATTAATACACATGCATGTGGAATTTTGATATGAGGTCACACTTCTGTCATATTCAAATAGAATTCCCAATGCTGCTCTTCAGACCAGACAAACTTTAAACAATTATCTCACTCATGTTCATGGAGGAAGAGCCGAGAGCCTTAAGGTCATCATATGCTTTCGGAAGGAAGAGAACTATCATGTTCTTTTCTCAGACATACACAACTTCAGCATCGCCTGCTTTTATGGCCAATGACTGTTGTAACTTCCATCAGAAGCACCTACCAGCTGTGGGCTTTCGGATGCCCCTCAGAAGCTGCGGAGGGTCCCTGTTTATTTCTGTTCTACTGCGCAAGGTGGCTTTGCACAGGGCCAGAGAGCTGCTGCTGCTGCTGGATGTGCTGCTGCTCTCCCCGTCAGCGTGCCTTCCTGTGAAGCCTACAAGCAAAACAATCTCATAAAGACATGCAAAGAACAGCAGAAGCCCAAGTTGGAGAGTGGTTTAACACACAGGAATTATCTGCTAATATCAGGTCCACTATTACAGGGTACTGCCCAGTTACCAAGTACTTTGATGGAGTTAAACACATCCACAGCTCTCTACAGTCACATGCATTCTCATGAAGCATTAAGGAAACTCTCAGGCGAGCTTACAGATAAGCAGGGAGTACTGACTGAAAGCTTGCTGGGCAGTCATGAGCAAACCACCCCCCAAAAGCAATGCTCACCGGAGGCAGACTCCATGTGTGCCCCGTTTACTTTCAGTGGTGTTAAGACAACACGTGGCAGCATTACACCAGTCTTTTTCTTTTGCTTGGTTGTCTGCAGCCCAGAAAGAAACCAAAGGAACAAAGATGTTATAGAGGGGTAAAATAATCTTCTAAACAGAATGTTCCTTAGTTAAAGATCCACCTAGCTCCTAGGTAAATCTTCAGGTGTATTTATGAATAGCAGAGAATTCAAAATTACTTTCCACAGTATCACAGAATCCCAGACTGGTTTGTGTTTGAAGGGACATTAAAGCTCCGCCAGCTCCAACCCCTGCCCCGGGCAAGGACACCTTCCACTAGAGCAGGGTGCTCCAAGCCCCTGTGTCCAACCTGGCCTTGAACACTGCCAGGGATGGGGCAGCCACAGCTTCTCTGGGCACCCTGTGCCAGCACCTCAGCACCCTCACAGGTAAGAACTTCTGCCTAATGTATAATCTAAACCTCTCCTCTGTCAGTTTAAAACCATTCCCCCTTGTCCTATCACTAACTTCATGCTAGTGGACTCTTCAGCATGGGTAGAAGAAGCGAGTTTGGCTGCAGTGACTAATGATCTTCTCCCTACTGCAAACTCCTCAACTACGGTTAAGGACTCTTCCCCGTAACTCTGAGGCACTTGTGCCCAACCAGTCCCTGTAACACTAACCCAGCCACCAGGCAGCAGTGAAAGCTCCCTGTGCTTCCCATCAGTCCCGCTTTCTCCTACCTGGGATGTGGTTCGGTGGCTCTCCCTGGTTGTAGCGGGTCCCTTGCTCTGAGATTCAGTGGAACATGAGGCATTAGAGGAGGTTTCATCAAGAGACACTGAAAGAGACAGGCCCTCAGTCAGACACAGAAGTAGATCCCATGGTTTCAGATTAACATCCTTAGACACTTACCGTCATTGTCACCACTCACAGTGCTTGCTTCATTGGACTCACAACTTTCTGCATCTGCTGTATCCTCCAGTTCCTCCCCTTCTGGCACAGACAGATTCCGAGACCACTGCAAGGCATCCTTCTAAAGGGGCAAACAGAACAGAGATGGCTTCACTCCCTGCCAGCCACGGGGACTTACACCAGTGGGGACAGATGTTTAGTGGATACAGTTCTTCAGCTTAATTGTTTTCATCTTCCCTATTCTAATCTTTGATGCAGAAAGATACTTTAAAGTATATTTGGGCTCACAGTGGAACAGAAGTCATCTGAACTACTAGCACACTTCATAGACACCTCCTAGACAAATAACCCAAACATGCCCAAAATACACAGGGTTAATACTTCATCACAATTTTCTGCAAGCAAGCAGTTTCTATTAAAGAGAAGTATCTCATTCTTACTACGAAACAACAGGGAGCATCAGAGTAGCCAATACTAAGATAGTAAGCTTAAGAGATATATTTACTACCTGCATAGACAAAGGCATTTCAATGCCATCTATTTTCAGCAAAATATGGCAATTCAACAGCATTTTCTGACAGCAGGAAAAAAAAGATGCCAATGAAATAGCTGAGGTACCTGTTATCTGTCAAGCTGACATTTATCAGGGGATCCAACAGTACAAAACAATGCAAAGAAAGACGAGAAACATTTTCAACATTTAAGATTACTGGGACAATAAATTAAATGTTCCAGAGAGACCTCAAGATCTGAGGAAAATGGTGATGCTAAACACACACAGAATGCAGCTGAACACAAAACAAGCTGCCAGAAGAACGAATATACATTTCCCTATCAAGATCCCTATCGTAGCCACAAGCTCTCAGACCAATTTAAGTTACTGGCTGGCCGTGTTCCCTCGTGGCTGGTAGAGAAAGAGTGCATGGGCTGTTCCTACAAACACCCACCTGAGTTGGGCACCAAATACTGAACAAGAGGATTTATCTTGCTTACACAATTCAAGAAATAGCTGTTTTAAAAATGGATTTATCATATAAATACAGCTTAAAGGTACAAGCTCTAATGAAATAATGAATCCCATTGTTTCATGGAAATCCACTCTCACACGACAAACTCAAATGCAGCACATTCAGCTCGTATGATGCTCAGTGACAGTTTAACGCTCGGCTCTACGTAACAAGCACACCTCACACCTTGGCTCCCAGCTAAGAGCAGGAACTCCGCAGGGTAAAGAGCACTGACCTTGAGGGTGAACAGGCTGATGCGTCCAGGCAGCTTGTAGAAGAGCCCATCACCTCCCCGGGAGTTGGAATGGAGCATGGCGTTGAGGCAGGCCAGGGGAGAGGTGCCGCTGGGACGCAGAAAGAGAACAGGTCACTGTTAACAAACGGCCTTAGCAAGAAAACAGCCTGAAGGATCTGTTTAAATGGGCATCTTTAAGGGGAACAGAGATGATGTTGATTAACTTCAGGGGATGGGCACTCCAGTGAGAACAGCACCGTGTCCTCCTTTGTGACCATCAGCCTCCAGCAGCACAGCGAAGCGACCAAACAGGAAGCACAAAGCCAGTTTCAAGTCCTCTCAGCCACTTTTAGACGCTTCTAACGTTTATGACCCGTTTCCTCCCTTCCTCTGCTTGAAACTTTCAGACTTCAACTGACTTTACAGAAACTCCAGATGTATTCAGCCCAAACCCACATGGATTGTACCCAGACGTGTTTCTGGAATGTCCTTCCCGAGAAGCCACAGATAGAATTGCACTAGCAGTTAGCTCTAAAGGGTCTGATGCCCTAATTTGTCACGTCCTACGTAACGCCCTGGTTAAAGCAACCATCCTACGCTCACACTGATGGAACTTCTGCAATCTCATGTTTTCCAATACATCACACACAGACAGGCAGAGTTACCTGGCAGAGACATCTGAGCAGTGTCGACTCCGTTGTTATTAAAAGTGAAACTGAAAACTGGACTGAGACAACATATTTCAAAGAAAATCACTCCCAAATTCAACCCTTACAACAATTTCTGTTCCCACCCCGAGTGTGTTTGGTGTTTTGGACATTTCTTCACAAGCTTTGGCAACAGACAAAATTACCCTCTATCACTTGGAGGTACTGTGACAAAAATTTCCAGCCTTCTGTCCTGTTAGACAGGGTTTTCCCTTCTGTGTTTAACAGACGTTCCATGCACGTTGTAACCAGCCAGAACACGCTTCCTCTCAATGGCAAAATAAGGACTTTTCTTCAAAAATGAGGAAAAACCAAAGAGTTAATATTCTCCTCAGAGACAGGATCAGTAATGGTGCTGGGCCCAAGTGTCCTGGCTCAAGCATCAGCCACACAGGATCATCGGTGTCCCCCATAAGAAACACAGCCCCTTCACACCAGACCAGTGTGACCCCAAACCAGGGAGTGCTGCCTCGGTATTGATTCAAAGGGAGAAACATCTCGAGCCACCGAGCTATTTCCTTCAGGAAATGGAGTTTCAGGAAGGGCTTCTATACAAGGCCCAGGGAAACCCGAGCATGTTTAGCTAGACAGGATCACTGCCTTTATCCTGTGAACAATTGTGCTCTGAAGAAAACAGTCTTTTCTTAAAGCAGAGAATTAATGACTGAGGAAGGAAAAGCAGATATCCCAAGGGAAAAACACCGACCTTTAAAGGAGCGATTTAGCTCTGTGGGATTCAACTTGACACATGCTCCGAAGTCTGGTCTTTAGTTACTGTGACAGGCCACTTGTCAGAACTGGGAGAGCACCAAGGTAATTTATGTGTGTGAGAAGAGACCTGCTATCACCTCTAGCAGAGGACAGCCTATGCTTGTAGATCTTCAACTATCTGCTGAAGTAACAGGACTGATGGAAGAGAGGTGCAGAGTATCAACTGAAACAAAGCTCAGTGAAGGTCCTCATTAAAAGCCTGTCTGAATTCTACTCAGAGCTGTGCAGCCACCATCCATACCCAAACCAGGGCAGATCTCCTGGGTGAGGACCACCAGGGGCAGGTGGGTGTTCCAAGAGCTCCCACACCGATGCAGCAACACATGTCAGCATCACCCCTCTCCAAACAATACCAGCTCCTGCATGACACCTCTGTGGGCATCACTACTTTTCTCTATTCAAACAATCCCAGCTGTTTCCTGATTTCAGACACAAGTAAGGAACAGAAACAAGCTAATATTTTGAGTTGTTAGGTCCCAGAAGAAATTAGTTTACCTTCTGCAGCTGGATAAAGTACAGCTTCAGGAGATGCAGACACCAGGGTAGAAAACTGCACAGAATCAAGGTGAGGGGAAAGCAAGACTGGAAACAGCCCATGCATCTGGATTTCCCAGAAGTCAATCAATGGGCAGCAGCCAAAAGACTGCTTTTTCTGTCTCTGTTAGTCCAAGTGTCTTTTTTTGCCACGCAGCACTAACTGAGGCATTTGGACTATCACAGTTACCTACTTTCTTCAATCTGCAAGACATTCTGTATTTCTCTTCTACTACTGTCACAGAAACAGATGGATGCTCAGAGGAAGTTAATCAAGGAAAAGTCTCCCACTCCTCTTGTTTCCAAGGCTCCATATCAGGTTCTTTTCCATATGAAGCCCACACTGAGATAGGCATCTCCTCCATACAACATCAGGAGCCGCAACAGGGTGAGCTGCGCTACCACAGTGCTCAAAAATCTGAGCAGAAACCAGTATAGTAATATAAAGATGACTTGTTTGAGTCTTCTGAAACATTATGTCTGCTCTAGAAATGAAGCATCAGAGGAGACAAAAAGCTGTTCTCAAATTAGTTACAATGGCAGAAACTATTAGGAGCTACTTATGAGAACCACACAAGCAGTAAGCACAACACAACGCAGGAGCCTGACATGCAATAGGCATGTATTTTACAGTAGATGGATGAAGGGGACTCTGGATATCATAAAAATACCCAAGAACAGCTTCCAGTTATTGTCAAATTAAAAAACCCCACAACCTGTATGTAAGTGTCTATGGTGTCATCTGAAATGACTATGCTGGAAAGAGGAAGAAATGGAAGAAGTGGGCTGGAGACAAGGGAGAGTTGCAGCCTCCCCCAAGCTCCACACTGTGTTCTAGACAAGATTATCAATACTAACCTCATTTCCTTTAGTCCTTCAGCCTCAATGACCTGTAGAATCTGTTTTGGGGTCATAGGAGCATCAGAGTAGTTTTCCAGCACCTGAAAGACAAAAGGACCACATGTCAGTACAGAATGTGCTTCTGTGCATTCACAGAACTACTCCAGAAGCTGCTGTTCAGATGCAGCCATACACCTCTTAAACCTCCACTTGTCTGCAAATAGCACACACTAAAGATTTCAGGCTACCTCCCAGGTAGATCACAGTAAACATCACAAAGGGCTCACCTTCATCTGATCCCTAATTAACTGAAATACAAACACAAAGGAGAGAAAAAGCAGCAGAATTTGGCCTTGACCCCACAGCAGTGGAAGCTTTTCCACTGACTTCCATGTACATTAGACTGAGCTGCTGTCACATGCAACCCTCCACACTGTGCAGTGGTGACCAACCTTTAATGATGTGAAATGTCCTCCCTAACACACACCCTCCTACCTCACAGAAAAGCAGACACTATTTTTGTGCCCACAAAAGTATAACTACAACTATATAACCCAACAGCTTTCCTTCCCTGGGCTACTGCATTCACCCCATCTCTGCTCCATCTCAAGGAAGGTACCACAGGTAAGAGCCCGATTTCTTGTCAGAGAAGGACAGAATTCAGAGAAGGACAAGAATAACAGCAAAGGATGTGGGGAAAATACAGCCAGAGACACTCTGAAGATTTGTAGTGCTTGCCTTTGAAAGAAAATGAGTAGAATCAGATATTAAAAAGGCAATACAGTAACTTCTCATCCTTTCATGTATGATATGAACAGAATTGCCACTTTATATGGAAGGAACTAAAGAGGCTATTACAGTTTAATCTTTTTTTTTAAGCCTATGGAACTTCTTGCTTCTGGACATTTTGGAGCACAAACTCGAGGATTCAAAGAGAGGACCGGACATGTCTGTGGATAAGAAGATTACCCACATAAACAGGAAACAATGAACAAAAATAAGCTGCAGTAGATGTAAACCGCGACGTTTCTTTGGGAGCAGATTACCCTACAGCTGCTCACCACGCGCCTCCTGCGCCTCGTGCTGAAGCAGACAGAGCTGCTCTCTGAATGCAAAAGACTCTGAGCTCAAACTCTGGGTCTGATGGAGCAAGAAGACTGTGACATGGGCACAGGACGTGGCCTGAGGCCTCCAAGACAAGCAGCAATGGGTATTTTGATCGTAACTGTGGTCTGAATTCCCCTAACGTAATGGCCACAGCGATGCACCACCCTGACTTCATCTGTCACCACGCTTTAGAGGAGCAACACGATGCTGCCTTTCAGTTTGACTTGTGTGAGCAGCTGGCGGAGGAACCCAAATGCCCCGTTTGCATCAGCAACATCTAGAACTGAGTCACTGCAGGCCCGTGGCAGGGCACAAACCCTGCACTCCGCTTTCTGGAGCTGCACGAGTGGCACGTTTGCGAGAAAACAAGTGTTGTGCAGGGCACCATTTGCATCTCCGTACCATGTCCAACCTCCACATGTAGAGATAAACCCAACCCGTGCCGCTGTGGTTCTGCACTTCAATTAAATTTTGTGATAAAAGGAATGTCCTACATCATATCCACCCAACAAGGATTTCTCGGATGCTTGAAGATCACAAACATCAGTGGTGTAACCTGGATGGGGACGGAAATTTGAGAGCTACGTAACCTGAGATAAAACACAATGAAAACACAAAGAGTTTAAAGATCAAAGTGATAAACCATATTCAGTGAGAATAAACAATTTTAACTCCCAGTCAATACAGTTCCATCACACTTTTCCCTCCAGTGATCAAAAAGCCTCCCCAGGTTGCGAGGTTTCCATGCCTTCCTCGTGAACTGTCACCCTGTCAGTCAAAGGGGGCAGACAAGAGGAAACACATCACTGGAGGCCAGTGCAAGAGCCACAGAATGGAAGATGCCTCCTCAGAAAAACAAGGGGATTCTTCACAGCTTCTGAAGCCTCTCTTGTGACAGACACAGCCAGCGAAATACAGCCCAAAGCTGAGCATGAACCAGCATTTACATAAAGATGAAAGAATCAACACTCAGGGGAACAATTCCCAATCAACAGCTACATTAAGTGTACAGACTGCTTAATGGGAGAACTTGGGGAGAGAAGATCATAGAATCCCAGACTGATTTGGGTTGGAAGGGACCTTAAAGCTCCTCCAGCTCCAACCCCTGCCACGGGCAGGGACACCTTCCACACTCCTGGTGCCACACCACCTCCCATCAGGAGCTACAACTCAACCATCAGCTACTCCTCACCCCCAAAAAAGACTTTCCCCACCTCTCCGCTATTTATAACACTGCTGGTCAGGGGCTCGTACGCCCCGACTGTGGAAGCTGACAGCACTTCCCAATTCATTTCCTAGACACCCAGCTCTGACAGCACTGGTAGAACAGTTCCTATGGCTCTGGGTGTTCAAACGAATCTTTAAAGGCTCATTTCATGGAACGTGCATTAGCTCTGCAGGAGCACCAACACTGAAAAGCACTTTTACCTACAGTTCTCCAAAACATCGAGAGGAATATGAAACAATAGTGCACGTCAGAGGGGAAAATTAAAAGCATTTTGACAGGGAGCATGTGTAAGACTAGTGTTAAATAAAGAGCTATTTTTAGTGGATTTACAATCAGTCCTGCGAGCTGGAAGCGCAGCTACGCAACCGTAGGTCTCTCTAAGTGGATAATCCAGCATGAGACCGTTCTATTTCTGGTTCTCAATGGCTCTAAGATGCTGCTGAGGCTCAGACATCTCGTGCACCCGAGGCTCTGGCCAAAAGGCAGGTGAGAGGATCTGTGTGGAGAGATCCCTGTCCCATCACGTGGAGGCGAGGAGGTGCGCAAGGATCTGCTTTAGTCACAGTCCCACATCCTGCTTTGAGCAGACTAAATGCTGCTTCCTTTCACCTGTTAGAGCCCAGGACTTTAGGATAAGGTGACTTTATGCAAGGTCACCTCACGCTGCCTCTGCCCCTGAGGTCACCCACCAGGAGCATCCCTGCCACCCGCGGTGACCAGGACCTCGCAGAGCCGCACACAAGGAGGTGCTCGGTCACCCCACTCCCGCAGGGCCGGGCTCTGACCTTCTGCAGTTTTTCAAGCGAAGTCATGTGGGTCTAGAATATTACAATTTACACACAAAAGCTTGTGCAAGCTGCTGGAAGGAGATGCTTGTGTGCTTAGGTTTCCTCCTGGCACGCGGTAAGAAAACACTCTGACGGCCAAACAAACCTTCCTCAGAAGGAGCACCAAGACCCATCCTGAGCATCCTCAGCACCAGACACGAGTCTCAGCTGGACTCACCACACTATTCCTTCTGAAGTTTATGTGCTCCAATGCACAGCCTGGCCAGGCAAACCCAAAATAAACACACACAGAGGAAAAAGAGGGAAGCAAAACACCCTCGAGCCCTGTAAACCCGTTTCTGCAGATGTCTGTGTGCTACATGGTGGGGAAAACACAGGGCCTTGGGTCACCCCTCACTCTGTGTACTGGTCCTCCTGTACCTGCACAGATCCATGTCACCAACCAGCTCCAAGGTGGGGAGTGAAGGGAGCGAGCTCCTTCCACCCAGCCACAGGCAGCGGTGACCACCAGCACGCAGCAAGGCTGGACACCTCCACGAGCACCCCTCAAATCAAACTTCACACTCGCTACCTGAAAGATGCTTCAGTTATTTTTCCTGTTATATTTCCTAGTTCCAAAGTGGGGTTCAAGACACACGAACACTTCATGGGGGGCAACATCCCTCTCGTGCTGCAATGGTCAAACAACGGCAGTGTCCAGCAGACCCACAGGAACTGGAGCAGGACCCAGCTCTGGAGGCTGGAGCCTTCATTCAACAAACAGACTCTCAAAGACAAGGGGACCAGGACAGACCCTGAACCGCATCTCCCAAACCCAGGAGTGCCCGGACGCTGCGGCTGCCCCCGGGCCCAGCACCGCT